GTATTTGCAACTCTTTGGGTCTTGTCACTGGATCTAACCAACGCCTTTATCCACTGTGCCATGTGATAACTGACAGTCTACCCCAGCGAGCAAAATAAAGCGTTGAGTTTGACATTCCAACTACCTGAAGAAGACTGGAGCAAGAGTCAAAACATTGTGATAAATATAGCAACAAAGATGAGGACTAGTCTGAATAATTTAAATAGTGTACATTTATTAATCATCTTGTAAAAATTCATTATTCATCAGAAAAAATTTATTTCTTCAGACAATAATGTCTTTAGGTGTTTTATTTTCGATTTCAATTTCCAAAAATATTTAGAAATATTTTAGTCATATTTCGTTTATCCGCATTATTAAATGATGAGGGATGGTTATAGATACGTTTCTTAAATTGATTCATTCTACTTCCAATGTATATTCTCGCAGAAACCCTCAGATTTTCAATTGATGTAATAGGACACACACAAAGGATTTTGTTAAAGACTTGTTTGATAATAGACATTAAGATCATCATTAGTATTACGGTTATTATTGTTATATAAATGCAATATTTTATTGTTATGTGATTTAATTATTTTCTCTAAATTATTAGTACAACTATAAGTTTTAGAGTGTTCTGATTGAAAATTTTAAAGTATTTTTAGGAAAATGTTTATCAATTAATTTTAAAACTTTATGTCCTAATTTAGTATGAACTAATTGATTGAATGGAGGAGTATACCATATGATCTTTTTGTTTCTGTTCTTCTTTCTGGAACAACTATAATTTTCTACAAATCTAATTTCAGAAGATCTTAACCCACTATCTCTAAGAACTTTATCATAAACTGTTTTTTGTCTTTCAAATATTTCTTTGCTAGAAGAGTGTTGATAAATCCGTCGTTTTACTAATGATGGAATATGTTGGATTACAGACGGTGGGTGATTGGAACTAGGGTGGATATAAATCAGGTTGGCATTATTTTTTATGTAAGGTTGAAAATTATTGAAAACCAAATTTAATGTTAGATCTAAGAAATCAACTTCTTTAATATTAGAATAATTAACTCCGCTAAGACAAAAAGATTTAAAACTGTATTAATTTTCTAAGTTTATCAACCTTCTCGTATATTAATTAAAATCATGAGACCATCATCTCTAAAAAGCCGCATGCTATTCTAATCAATTTCTTCATATGCAGTTGTACAAAAGAAACAGTCTAACTAAATCTGAAGACGCTGCAGAATCCAAAGATCCCATTGATATATCGAAAATATCATCCGAATTTTTAATCCTTTTTTCCTGTATTAAGACTGATTTTCTACAGTTCAAAATGTTTATTTCATCCTTTGAAATGTCTGAACAAATTTCTGCAAATTCCAATGTAAAATTGAGGTCCTTAAAGAGAGATGGATAAAAATCTACAGCATCAAATTAGAAGAAAGTACAATTATCTTTGTCTTTGAAGATTTTAAACCTGTTGATCACTTCAGAAGTACCTCTCCATTGTATAAGGTTAAGTTGATTTTTTATTTGAAAGTTGACTCGCTCTAAGATCACTTTACTTATTCTACCAATCTCAGATCTGGTTGGATTAATAATTCTAGTGTGTAATTTTCATAGAAATTCAGGTTTGCAATCTTCTAATAACACAAAAGTATCCTCCATAGTGAGTTTTGCAACTATCACTCATTTTCAACTTGTCAGTAATTTGATTAGCCGGAAAGTTGACAGTATCAATACAAAATGTCAATATTAACTTTTTTTTTTTTTTTATAGCTATTCATTAAATTTTTCTTTATCAAAGCATTGTACTCCTTAGGATTCAATTTTAAAAATTAGAAGTTTTATCAGATTTCACAAAAATCTAATTTGATTCATTTATAACCCGAACCAATGTGTCTAAGTATTTTTTAAACTTATTTTTTTGGTAATGGAAAGTGATATTATTGATAATATCAAATAAATTTTTCTCAAAGTCAATGAGTTTGTTAATGTGAGGTGCAGTATTCTGATTTTTAAATCCATACGTAGCCCTTGTATTGGGAACTTTACAGCCTTTAATAATAAAAAAATGCTTTCTATCTCATCCTTCCTATAAGATCTTCAGTCTTTAAGTACTCATGTTTGTTTGGGATAGGAATATATCATTAAACAAAATACGCTTCCTGTCTACAGGAGAAAATAGAAATAATTAAGTTCTTAAATAGGGACATTTTATTGAATCAAAGATATGAAACAGCTGTAAGTTGTAAGCACATTAAAGAATTGACCTTAATCTTGCTAAATTTCTCAACTCAAGAATCAATGTTCTTAAGTTTGTCATATTTATAAAAATGTTATAATCGTTAATTTATCCTAGTTATTATATTGGTTAATATTAGTTATTTACTAGAATAATTAGCCATGAATTATTATTTTTACTTTTCTCTTGCTGTTTTAATAATAATTTCTAATTTAAAATTAATAATAAAAAATTTTAAATTTTATTTTGTATTCTAATTTATAATGTAAGGTCGGTTTTGTTAAGTATTGTATTGATTCTTAAAGTGTCCTTTCTATGGATAATTTTGTTTGAATCTATGATTTCATATAAAATGCCATAAAATCTGAAATGCGATATTGTTAAACAGTGTATCCATTTACGCTACATTTCCATTCAAATTTGAATTCTTTTATTCAACGTAATTTCATTGGCTTAATTTGTATCAACATCTTTCAATTTTCTATCTTTTTAACTTTCCTCTTCCTGTGTAATTTTGAATATATTTCTTCTCTATTTCTTTTGCCTTTCTCTTTTTATCTTTTCTCTTCATAGTAGGGTTAATTTCTTATCCTTTTTTTCTTATTTTCTTTTTTTACTTTTATGAAATTTTTCTTTTTAATGGAAGTGATTTTCTTATCCTTTCTTTTTTCTTTATAGAAATCCTTTTTTTTAAACGTTAAAAAATATTTTCCAAAATGGAAAATGAAGTGAGGTTTCATTAATTGTAAATTTAAATAAGATTGTTAACCACCTGAAGAGATGTTTTATTTTAAATGTTGAAATGAAATATACAAATTTTGTAATTTGTGTATTCTTACATATTCTAATGTAACCGTGTATAATATTTATTGCTCTACTTTTGTATTGAGCTCTGTTTTAAAAAACTTTAAATTTATTCTTTGAAATTTTTACATTTGGTTATATATATATATATATATATATATATATATATATAAATATTTAATTTTTACATCTTTCCTGTAATTTGTTTATTTTTTTTTTACTTTGTTTTTTTTTTAATAGTTCAGAATTCAATTGTTGGTGATTGTAACTTTATAGAATGATTATTACAATTAAAATAATAAACATTCAAAGTTAAAATGATTATTATAATAAAAAAAGTTTTTTTTTTGGTACCTCAATAATTTGCTAAAAACAGTATAGATGATGATAAAAGAACAATTACCATGTGAATATTTATAAAAAAAAAAAAAAAAAAAAAAAAAAAAAAGCATTGGGAGGCAACCATATATCAGTGGGTAAATGACTGATGCCCAAAACTGTTAGATCATGACTAATAATATTGCTGATCTAAGGATCATATCAAGGAGTTTCAGATAAACAGCAGGGGCCCTGAACCATATATGGTATTAATAATCTAAGCATAGAAGAATAGTAGACTTATAGATATGCAAGATAGATTCATGAGAAAATGTTTTGCTTTAACTTTCTGACCTAACAATGGATTCAACATAGTCTTTCCACCTCATGCCAGTTGTGAATATTAATCCAAGATGGTGCAACATGTCTCTTTTTCCTGGAGGATAGCATCAGCCATGAGGATGGAAGGTAGAGAGGTTTTCTAAATTAATGATTAATGGAGAGAAGTTTTGTTTTAGAGGCGTTAAAATTGAAATGCCATCTTTTGCTTCAGTTAATGATGGTATTGAGGGAGTTTTGGACAACAGCTTCCATTTTGACCTTGTCAGATTGATCAGCCTTACTATCGGGAATGTTGTTAATGAAGATTAAAAAACAGCATAGAACCAAGAATAGAGACCTGAGGGACACCTGCATTAGTATGACAGGGTGTAGATGAGTAGTCATTCAGGATAACTTTTATTTCATGATTTGATAAGAACAACTGGATCAGTTCAAAAATGTGCCCGGGGATACCATAACTTTTCAGCTTGTGGAGAAGTCCGGAATGCCAGCAGTTGACCTGGAAAAACAAAAACCGTATTTTCTGAGAGGAGAGGCCCCGCGTTGAAATATAATGAACCAATTTAGGTGTGAAACGCTAACAGGCCAATAGTTAAGTGTGTCGGGCGATTTACCAGAGTTCTTAAAAACTGGAATGAGAGATGATTAATTCCAGCAGGCCAGAAATCAGGAGGCAGTGAAGTCTTTATCATACAGTTTAGAGAGAACAGGAGCCATTTTAAGAACACACTTCATAACGACTATTGCAAAAGCATGAAACCCAGGGTCACAAACTCACATCAATCTATCTCTGATATTGAGCACTTTCTAATAAGCACTGCGCACATAATATATAAATAATATATATTACACACACACACACACGCATTATATATTAGTTATGAACCCTCATCTTACTCATCATTTTATTCTAAAATCAACACTAAAGTTTATATTTTAGAAGTACCCTGAATGAGAAGCCAGCACTTTCAGAAAGTGTGAAAATGAAAAAGAAATAAAGTGAAATTGAAAACGGTTCTTGATCAAACTTGCATGCATCCGAGCAAAGATTATGTATTCTATGAAAAGTACATTTTCTCCTTCTTTGTCACGTGATAGCGTGAGGATTGGACCGGATGCTATCCAGATATTAAAGCAACCTTAAACTCTCCGAGATACAGAAGGAAAAGGAAAAGGGTCAGTGACTTCTTTTTGCCCACACGTGTAAAAATCCATGTTTGGAAGTCATGGTTCATGTGCAAATCGAGGCGAAAAAAAAGAGCGCCACCAAATTAGTTTCTCTTTAGAATTCAAACTGAATGGAGAATGTTCAGCGATATTTGCTGTAATCTGTTATAAATTTAGACGTCTGCGAAATTGATAGAAATCTGTAAAGGTTTAGAAAAGAGAAGAGAGAAGAGAGAGAAAGAAAGAGAGAAAGAGAAAAAGAAGAGAGAAAAGAAGAGAAAAAGAAAAGAGAAAAGAAAAAGAAGAGAAAAGAAAAAAAGAAAAAGAAGAGAAAAGAAGAGAAGAAGAAGAAGAGAGAAAAGAAAGAAAAGAGAGAAAAAAAGAAAAAGAAAAAAAGAAAAAAAGAAGAAAAGAAGAAAAGAAAAGAAGAAGAAAAGAAAAGAAGAAGAGAAAAAAGAAGAAGAGAGAGAAAAAAAGAAAAGAAGAAAAAAAAAAAAAGAAAGAGAGAAAAAGAAAAGAAGAGAGAGAAAAGAAAGAAAGAAGAGAAAAAAAAAGAAGAAGAAAAAAAAAGAAAGAAAAAGAAAAAAAAGAAAAAGAAGAAAGAAAAAGAAAAGAAGAGAAAGAAAAGAAGAAAAAAAAAAGAAGAGAAAAAAAGAAAAGAAGAAAAAAAAAAAAAAGAGAAAAAAAAAAAGAGAAAAAGAAGAAAAGAAGAAAAAAGAAAATGAAAAAAAAAAGAAAAAAAAAGAAAAAAAAGATTTTCTTTCGTTTTATTGCCTGTTTTATCTTTACTTTTCATTTTTTTTAATTTTTTCAATTTGGAAAGAAATTGTTTTACAAGATAACATTTGAAAAATAAGTAAAAATTGAAAATTCCATTGTTTCATCCCATAATCTTTATTTTATCTCATTGATTTGTTTTGCCCCGTTGTTCATTTTTTGATATACTGCAAACTATTTAATCCCCATTTATATATTATTTAATAATAAAACAGTTATCCTTCATTGCCTTCTGTTGTTTGTCACTCTAGCGAAATTGTTTTTCCATTCACCTGTGCCACAGCACTGGGGGAGAAATACAGGAGGCTAATCCAAAACAGAAGTCGGGTTGAAAAAAAAAAAAGGACAGCAGCCAGGTACTGATGATCAATATAATCAAATACCTTGGACTTTTCCAAAATGACCAAGAGCGCTTGCTCATCAACTTTTACACCCTCTAGGATTTTTGAAGTGGCAGGTAGCTCTGAATTGTTCGCCCTTCACAGCAAAAGTCTGATTTTTTCTTTGAAAAGACTCTCGGCAACTGACTGCAAAAAAGATCAGGATCTTGGCTAAAATCTAAAACTTTAACAGAGTTATGGGCCTGTAATCATCTAAATCCTGCCCACCATTCTAAAAAACAAAAAGAGAACCAAATCCCTGATGATCCGAAAAAATGGACCCCTGAGGAAGAACCAGTTGTTGAACATGACAGTCAAAATTGTCACAAAATGTGTGACAACCTCAAGTACAATTTGTAGGGTAAACCATAAAGTCTTGGAGACTTGCCACTGCTAACCCTCTTCAATGCCAAATAGAATTCAAAAACGAAATCTCACCCTTGCAGGTAGCTGCTTCAGTTGGCAAAAAAAAAATAGGAAAGTCAAAAAATAACTGTGAAACTCCAATCCACCGAGACCAAGCTCCTTGAAAAAAAATCGTAATGTTGAAATGCTTTGCACATGATGTCAATTTACCTCAGAGTACACCCCTCTGGGGTTTTGATCTCACGAATATAACAATTGGAACCTTGACAGATCTCTTTCTTGTGCAATTGTCCTTCCATGTTCATAGCTTCATTAGACATCGTGCTTATCCTATGTCCTAACGACCTGACGCCTTGTAGAACCTGCATAGCTAAACTTGTGTCCAGGAGATCCCCCCAGCCTCCACCTGGGACAGACTATCTTTAAGTGTTTTCACCTTATCTAGTGCAAGCCGCTGGCTATATTCGGCTTAATCCTGTCCTTAAGCCTCTCCCAACACCTATTCCCAATAACCGTTTAAAAATAATAGTTCCCTGCTGCAAAAGCTTAAAATTTGTTGCTGGAAGTCCCAAATGTCCAGTAAAGACAGATTGAACTTCCAGTGTCCAGCCATTTTAGGCCTAGAACCTAAAATAATCTGAAAACAGACGTATTATGGAATAAAATAGCCCAACCAGTGGAACTTATAACAATCTGAGTCTATATTTGTCCTTCTCACTAACATTCTATCCAATCTCCTTTTCTGGCTGATCGATCCGGTATCTATTGATGAGACTGAACTTACCAATCATATCAACCAGGCTATTTGAATCCCAATAATGAATGATCTCCTGCTAATTTGATTTGTCTATATCAGAGTTCAGGATGGCACCCAGTCCCCTATTAAGACTAAGCATGACGATCCACCAGGAACAGGGCTAACTTGACGATAAAACTAGCTAACATGAGAATCTTTTTTTTTTTTTTTTTTTTTTAGTCTGGCTCCCCATATCACTAGACAGAAATCTGTTTTTCAGGACCTCGACAGATTGTCCCAAAAAATCAAAGTTAAACCATCCATGACAATCCCGCCAACACCTGTGGATAACGTTAGTTTTAATGCTTTAAAATGATGATGAAAGGAATGAAGAAAAATGCAAAAATCTGTGCAAAATTAATTCTGAAGTTTCATATATATAATATATATATTCTATATTTTTTTGAAGGTCTTTATAAAAAAAACAAATGTGACCATACCCACAAATAAATCAAAGTTATCCCTAATACATGCAAATTTTCTGGTGCCCGGGGAAAAATGTTAGGGTCCTTGTTTTTATAGAATTTAACTTGAACAGGAGAGCCAAGAAGGATCTTTCCCGTGTGGAATTTTAATGTGAAACAAAAAATTTGAAAAATGTGAAAAAAAAAACAAAACAAAAGTCATATAAATAAACTATTACACGACCTTTGACCTAACAAAAAAAAAAGTTCAAAATTTCAAAAATGCTAGAATAGAATAAAAAAATTCTTTTTTTAAAAAGAACTTTGTTCTTATTAAGTTTATGGCCTTCTTCACCACGCTATGCTTTTTTTTCGGCTAATTATTGAACATACCTCTATGATATTTGCCGTGACTCACATTACGAAAAATGAACATTTTTCTGACATTATTTACCTGAATTCATATTGTGAAATCATTAAAAACATTTACAACAATATCCAATCAAAAATTATTCACATTAAAAAGAATAAACAAAATTTAATTAAAATAAATTTTATTTACAAAATTCTTGAAAAAATAAAGTATTTTTCTTTTTTAATTAATTTTAAAAATTTCCATTAAAATTTCTCTGTCATTATTAAAACAAACAAAGAAGTTTTTTCGAGAAACAAAAATCCTTGGAACATCTTCAGATTCTTTTGGAAATTTGTACAGAACTTTTTCTGGTAAAATGGAAAAAATTCTTTTTAATATTACAAAAAAAAAATAAATCTGACCAAACTTGTTTCCATGAAAAAAAAATTTTTTTTTTGCGGTTTTCACCTTATTTGAAGAATGTTGTCCATTTTGATTGAAAACAAATATTTCTGACATTCCAAATCTTGTCCCCCACAAATTCCCGGTCGTGGGATCAGCACGAAGAAGGGGGAAAGAATCAGAACCTGACCCAGGCGATTTTTGAAGATGGATTCTTTTTATTTGATTTATATCTTTATAATAAAAAATCTTTCTTTGCAAATTTAAATCGAAAAAAAAAATTTTTCGTTTTTTTGACATAAAGAATAAAAATTCATTTTCTTTTGTGTTGATTATTTTTTCTTTTTTATATATGGCGGACTTTCTTTTTCGCTCCAAAACAAAAGTCTTCCTCCCTCGACCCTATAAAACCAAAAACAACTAAAATGTCCTTGGAAAGATTTATATCCAAAGGTAAGAATCCTCATCCCCAAGGGACATTACTTAAACAACTTTCCCATTCTGGGTGAATTCCTTGATTGATTTATATAATAGCTGCATCGACAACAAACACGAAAATTTTAAACTGCTGACAATATAAAAAATATAGGTTCAAATCCTGCAGATGGCATTCACTTTGCAGTTCAAATTCCCTTGGGTGTAATGTCTCTACTGTGAATTCCATGATTTCTTCTTGTAGTTGGTTCAATGACCGTTGGCACCATTCTATAAATATTTATACAAAAAAGATGATTTTCTTCCACAGGACTGAATGACTCATGGAGCCGTGAAGAAAGCTCTGCTTCCAGTGACTGTACACCCGAAACAACATTCTTGTTTCAATGCATTTGGCGCCTAACAAATGGCGCATTTTAAGAATTTTTCCTGCCTCCTCCAAGATATTTTCTTTCTCTTTTATGAATTGGCAATAATATAAAATGTTCTTTTCATATATATTTTCTCTATATTTGGTTTATATTATCTATATTCCTTCAGCCTTGTCTTTTCCAGAAATTCATCGAATCCCTGCCAGACTTTTGAGCAATTTAATTAAATCGATTGAAATTGTTCAATTGGATTTCTCAATTTTTCAATCCTTTGAAACGGATTTAATAAATATTAAATCTTCAACATCTTCCTGCAGGTCAAATATTTTTTTTTTATTTCCTTTATATATTCCTAAATACAATGATATATATTTATATATAGATTTTTTTTATATCAAAATCAAATCTGGAAATACTAAAAAAAAAAAAAAGAAAAAAAAGAAAAGAAAAAAGGTCAAAGTTCAAAACCATAAAAAGTTGATTTCTAGAGCCGAAAATAAAATGACCCAAAATTTGAAAATTTTTACAAGAAAAATAGATTTCCTGAAATTTTTTTTAGTTTTCTTCTAAAACTGCAAATAGATGAAAATTGTTGTGTGTGTGTGTGTATATAATAGATGAAATATATATATATATTTAAAAATATATATATATATATATATAATAATATATATATATTATATAATAATAAAAATATATATATAGATATATATTATATATATTTATATATATATATATATATATATATATATATATATATATATATATAATTATTTATTTAAAAATATGATTCCAAATCGCTACATAAGAGGTCTCATGTTTCAAAACAAGAGCCGAAAACTTCAATATAATCCTTTAAATTAAATTGAGTTGAAATTAAAATGGGCTCCGTTCCATCTTCAAGCGAAATTTTTTTTTGGAATAACGTATATCTGAAATTTACTTGTTTTAAAAATTGAAATCAAAATCACCATGGTAACAGCTAGGGCGAATTGTTTAAAATGGGTAGGCGAGTGTAGGGTGTTAATAATAAGTAGCGGTATAGAGATACTTTCAAAGGTGTCAAGTCGGGGAAAGGTGGGGGTGTCAAAAATGAAACGAAGATGTATTAACCTTTCGTCTAGTTTGCTTGTCTATGGAGATTTATTTATTTATTTTTTTTTTTATTATGAAAGGGAATTGTGCATATAAAAAAAAAAAAACTTTCGTAACGTTTGTTTTTTGACGACTTCATAAAGGGTTATCTTTTAAGTAAGGTATTTAAACTACTAATTTGGGCTATGGATTATGAAGGGTGTTATGTTGTATGCATGTTTGTAGTTAATTATTTCTACTATGAATCTGATGATTGGGCTATTTGTTAAACAAAGTTATATAATATTTTTTTTTTTTAATAATTCAAACCAAAAATCTGATGATGCCTACAAAAAACCGTTAACTCGTGTCTATTATTTAATAGATTATTATTATTTAGAAGTTTAATAATGTGCAATTTTTCATGGAGGCACAA